CAGGGGGGGCTTACTGTCTGACAGTTCTGGACGCCGGAAGTGCAAAATCAAAGTGTCAGCAGGGTGGGTTCCTTTTGAGGGCCGTGAGGGTGAATCTTTTTAACGTCCTCTCTGCTAATTCTAGGAGCCTCAGGGGTTTCTTGGCTTGTAGATGGCCATCTTCTCCCTGTGTCTTTACATGCTCCTCCCTTTGTATGTTTGTTGGCATGTCCAAGGTCCCGTTTTAGCAGGACACAAGTCATATTGGATTAGGGCCTACTCAAAATTTCATCTTAACTTGGTCATCTGCAAAGACCCTACTTCCAAATAAGGTCATAGGCATAGGTTCTGGGGGTTAGAGCTTCAATATGTATTTAGGGGGAAATTCAATCCACAATAACATCTTTCAGGGACCTTGAGAACCCAGACTGGATGATTCTTCCATGATTCTACCCACCCATCTGTCCATTCATCATTCACCCATCCATCCAGCCAGCCACTCATTCATCCACCCATATGTTCCTCCATTTGTCCCTCTGTCAGCTTTCAGGATTATACACTTTCTGCGTGTCAGACACAGGGTGGACACCATATGCACCCGGGATGTGTAGACACAGACCAACAGAGTCCCACTAAGCCCATCATCATTGCACGATTATGCCAACACGTTACATTTAATTCGGCCTCCACTTAGCTAGTGTTGAACTCGTAATTTCATTTATGAGACTTTATCACATCACACATAAAGACCTTTTCCTTAGCCGAATTGTATTTCCTCGTTCTAGGAGAAGTCCAGGAGACCTGCTCTGGTTCCCCCATTTTTGCCCATGTCATTGGTCACTTCCTCCACCCCTTCCTGGTAATTCTGTGCGAAGCCAGGCTGGGTTTGGGGATAGGTGGGATGGAGCAGGGCAAGACAGGAGGCTGGGATGGGCTACAAAAACGTCAGCTCTTCCAAGACTCACTTGTTTAGAAGGGAGCGTTACTCAGCAGAGGCAGGCCCTTGTACTCAACGTTGTAACTCTCTGGCCGAGAACACACCATGCAATTAAGAAGTGAGTTTTCTTTGGCTTGTGATACAAGTAAGCATTGTGCACTGGTCCATGCTCTACACCGATGGTGTCTGCTGGCCCGTCCTCAGACAGAGCTGTTAACGTAACCACATGCGGACAAGGCATCCTTCTCCCAGATCCAGATGCGTAGGCCCCCTGAGTTCCACTCACGCCCCCTCCAAAGCCAATCCCTCCGTTTCCAAGGTTCTGGATCAGTACAGCTGCCCATCTTCAAATCTCTCCTCAAACAAATGAAATAGCAAAGAGCTTCCCACTTGGCTCTGTGCTGTAAAAATGCCGCTGTGCTACGTTCATCGCTCCCAGGCCTCTGCTGTCTGCTGAGCGGGGAAACCCTTCTGTCATGCAATAGTTCTCAGTACACAGTAAACCCCAACACGCTTTCGCTGAGATTAATCTGAGAGCAAAGCGCGCAGCTTACGGCGTTCGGCTGCCCCCCCCCCACCGTGCCTTTTTGACATTACATCCGGCAGCGCCGGGCAGATTCAGGAACAGACCGGTGCCGGAGTAGAGGTGAGAGGTCGTGTCACGCTGCACATTCTGACACGATTCGGTTCGGCAGAAGCTTGACATTTAAGGCTGGTGGAACCAACACTGTGGTTCATTATCATTGCTGCGAACCCATCATATCTTGACTTCATGTAAGAAAGAACTGTCTTTTATGGAAATCACGTGGAACCTGATCAGACAGAGATCGCTATTGTGGAGAAATCTGGATGGGTGTGAATTCTTTCCAGCTCCTGCCAAGGGGGTTCGTTGTCGCTTGAGTCTGGGCTGGCCTGTGGCTTGCTTTGGCCAATCAAAGATAGCGGAAGTGACCGGACCTTGTGGAACGTTCCATGCAGTCAAGTCTTCCAGTCAGGGAAGGGGCCAGTCAAGCTGTCAGCTACTACTCAGTCCAGAGGCCAGGTGTGTGAGCGAAGCTTCTAGAACATTCCCACTCAATCAATCCTCCCGTTGACAATGGATCCAGCCGACACCGAATGGAGCATCTGAGCATCTGAGTCCCAACCAGTCTGTGAATCAGGAGACACGACAAGCTGCTGTTCATGGATGCCTCTAAGCTTTGGGGTGTCTTGTGCTACATCCATAGGTCACCAAAATCATTCCCACATGCAGGGGGAGTGGGCAGAATAGAAGAAATAACAGAAACACTGACGTTTTCAGCTCCATTCACACCCACGTTTTATAACCTCCCTCCTCTTTGCTTTTCTCGCTTGCTGACTCACCCTACACATGTGATACGGAGAATAACACACAGCACAGTACCCGTTTGTGGCTTTGAGCGCAGAGGGCGGACAGTGGGAAGGAGACGGCATGCGGTTTGATGTGTCATCTCCACGAGAGATGACCGTGGCCTCTGAGATTCACGTGCAGTTTGTTTCCATTCTGGAATCCAGAAGGGAGGGGACAGCTCGCCTGCCCATTTTCTCCCCCACCCCACCCGCCCAGGTTTATGCGCCCGTGAAGGGCAGGACCAGAGAACGTAAAACCTTCCCGCGCAGTTCACCGAGGTAGCACAACCCCGGCTATCATGCTTTTCCCACTGGGTCACCCTTCTCGGAGCGGTCCAGCGTCTCAGAGCCGTCAAAACATGGGGGGACAGCCTGTCACAGTTTTCCAGGGAGTGCGAGAGAGCACCGCGGATTCCGAGCCTCTCTTTGTGCCTCTTTGGTCCTCCCGAAGGGCAAACACTCTTTCACGTCATTGACCCGGGGAGCTGTGAGAACCCATCTTCGGGGGCCACTCATCTCTGTTCCCATAAAATCCTAATCTCACAGGATCCCCATCCCTGCTGCAGAAGCGCCACGGTGAGGCTTGGCTTTCTTCTCCGACCTCAGAGTGGCCTCCCAGGCCTTTTCTCCCCGTGTGGTCTGCCTGAGTATTTCCTTTTGTAGGTAAAATTTCTGAAATGAACAGTTCCTTCAGGGCAAGGTCTGCTCTGGAAAAGAGCTAGAAGCTCTAGCTGCCCTGGATGGCGGGAAGGAGGGAGCAGTGGGGGGAGATGAAGGGATAAGGGTCCCCCCCCACCAAAGAGAAGCTTGGGGATGCCTGGAGCCCTTTGGCTGTCCTGGCTTGGGGCGGGGGGATGGGGGGAGGGGAGCTCCTGGCACCTAGTGGGTGGAGACCAGGGAAGCTGCTCCGCACCCCACAGGGCCCAGGACGCCTCACATCAGAGGGTCACCCAGCCCCAGATGTCAGGAGTGCCGAGACTGAGAAACCCTGACCTAGCATGAGAGACTTTCTATCAGTTATCTATCATCTATCTATCTACCATCTATCTCACTATCATCTATCTACTTTTCTATCACCAACCTGTCAACAATATACATGACCATATATGCATGTCTGTGTCTGTCAATCTATCATCTATCACACTAGGGTGTCCACGTTGTAATCCCCAAAGGTGTCCACATCCTAATTCCTGGCAACTGCAAATATGTCACCTTACAGGACAAAAGACCTTTTGCAGATGTGATTAAGAATCTGGAGATGGGGCTTCCCTGGTGGCGCAGTGGTTGAGAGTCCGCCTGCCGATGCAGGGGACATGGGTTCGTGCCCCGGTCTGGGAAGATCCCACATGCCGCGGAGCGGCTGGGCCCGTGAGCCATGGCTGCTGAGCCTGCGCGTCCGGAGCCTGTGCTCCGCAACGGGAGAGGCCACAACAGAGAGAGGCCCGTGTACCGCAAAAAAAAAAAAAGAATCTGGAGATGGGGACTTCCCCGGTGGTCCAGTGGTTAAGACTCCGTGCTTTCACTGCAGGGGGCCTGGGTTCAATCCCTGGTCAGGGAACCAAGATCCCTCAAGCTGCCGTAGCATGGCCAAAAAATAGAATCTGGAAATGGAAAGAGTGTCCTGAGTTATCCAGGTGGGCACAAGGGCCCTTACTTGCAAGAAGGAAGCAGAAGGTTCAGAGTCAGAGAAGCAGAAGTTGGTGTCACGTGGGGACATGAGCTGAGGAATGTGGGCGCCTCTAGAAGCTGGAAAGGCAAGAAGACAGATACTCCCCTGGAGCCTCCGGAAGGAGCCAGCCCTGCCCACACCTGGATTTCAGCCCAGGGACAGCAGTGTTGGACCTCTGACCTCCGGAAGGATGCCCACGGTGAAAGCACCCCTGATCTGGGGCCAGGAAGACCTGAGTCTCAGCTTGCCCTGCAATACGCCACTGGAAGTCAATCGGCCACTGTCTGCTTCTGGGAAACTGAGTTCTTAACTCTACAATGGAGCAATTGGTGTTTACTCTGCCCATCTCCCGCTGCCCACAGATTCTGTCAGTGGTTATCTGTGAAACGGCTTTGTAGTTTTGACATGATTTTACAAGCACAGTTATCACGGTGGGTGTTATGTTTCGTTAGAGTCACCCACTCCCGGGGGCACATTTGGAGGCAGACACGGGGGCCATAAACTGGCCACTGGGGATCACTCCAGGCTTGCTTCTGTGGGAAAAAGCCCACCTAGAAATCTCCCTGGTAACATCTGGGAAACGATTCTCCTTGAGCTTCTGCAAGTCCCCAAACTTTGTCCCTTATGGATACCATGCTGTCCCCTGCTTGGCTTGAGGCCATTGGGAGGGGGACCAAGTGTCCCTGCTTCTGGGTGAGCAGCCAGGAAGCCTCAGCAAGATGAGGGCTGCAGGACCGCGCTTGGACCTCGACCTCCAAACGCAGGATTCTCACAACCCACCAGAGGGTGAGAATCCTGGGTGTAGATCATATCTGATAATGTTTCAAGTGAGGTGTATCCGGCGGGGCTGTAAAAGTGCTCGGCGGGGCTGAAAAAATGATCCTGCACTTTTTTTTTTTTTTGACAAGAGTCATCTTTTAAAATAAAGCATGGCTGTTTCCTGTAGTCATTTCCCGAGTTTCTTTTCCACATTTTAAAGACAGGGTGACTTCTGTACGATGAGCTGAGGCGCTGACCTTCTGCTCACTGCTTTCTCCTCCTTCAAGCATGAGGCGTATCTTTCTGCCCTGGGCAACCTCAGCTGTCTTCCTGCTGGGACATTTGATGGCTTCAGAAGAAACGGAGCTGAGTAAGTCAACGCTGGTGAATGTAGCCATTTGTCTGCCTGAAATGCCCTTTCTTTGAACACCTCTGCTCTTTTCTTTTTATGGTGTCATTTGCAACTGCAGTGTTTTCTTTGTCAAAGTGACAAGGGCTTACACAGGTTCCTGAGTCTCGGGCAAAGCTCCATTTGCCTGTTGCAAAGGACCCACTCTTTTTTTTTTTTAATTATTTTTTAAAATTAATTAATTTATTTATGGCTGTGTTGGGTCTTCGTTTCTGTGCGAGGGTTTTCTCTAGTTGTGGCGAGCGGGGGCCACTCTTCATCGCGGTGAGTGGGCCTCTCACTATCGCGGCCTCTCTTGTTGCGGAGCGCAGGCTCAGTAGTTGTGGCTCACGGGCCCAGTTGCTCCGCGGCATGTGGGATGCTCCCAGACCAGGGCTCGAACCCGTGTCCCCTGCATTGGCAGGCGGACTCTCAACCACTGCGCCACCAGGGAAGTCCCAGGACGCACTCTTGACTGAGCTCAGGGTTAGGTCTGAATGGAAAAGAATCAATAGAAGAGCCCTTGGCTGCAGAACTGAGAATCTGGGCTGCTTTGCTGTTCTGTCTGCCTCCAAAGAGGTGAAAGGCTTTTGTTTAAATTAGTATTTCCCTTCCCGTGGTGAGATCATGCCGCCACAGTGCCCCCGAGAAAGACAAGAGCCTCCCCAGTCACCCGTTGTCCGCGGGGTCACCCTTGAATCCCACGGCTGGCCGCGCCTTCTGAGAACGATTATCAGCGTCACCTTTGCTCTCTGTCCGCAGAGCCTGGTTCCTGGGGCTTTTCCAGAGAATTGTTTCCAGGCTGCATGATCACCTTACAAGCTTTGTCAAAAGGCAGCAACAGGAGCGGGGGGACGGGAGGTATCTGGTCCCCTCTTGCACCAGACAGCTTCGATTTGCTTTCCAGCTCAAGGGAGGCCCGGATGGGAGCTGGTGGTGGCACGTTCGTGACATGTAGCTTCTGAACTGTCCCCAGGCATCACCCCATGCTTGACCGTCCACGTCCGAGCTGGCCTCTCGCCTACCTGGTTTGGAAGGGTCCCTAGGGGCCTTCTTTGCTGCAGCCCTGGGGTTGCAAGCTGGGTATCAAGTGGACACAGTGAGGAGGGTGAGAGAGCCTGGATGTGGGGTGTCCCCAGGGCTGGCACCCACATAATTCCCTAGCTCTGTGCAATGCCCGGTGCTCTGTTTTCACGTGGCCGAATCGAGGACTCCATCTGCCAGCGACAGAAGGCAGAGGGAGGAGAGATTTGGCTGCGATCAGAGCTCCCTGTGGCCACAGATTCCTTGAGACCCATAGCTTCCTTCTGACAGTCCCCCTCTACCTGCCACCACTGCGCACGTGGAGTTTGAGTGAAGAAAGAGCCCTTTAGACCAGTTCTAGATTCTGACCCACTTGAAGCACATCCGTGGGCAGAAGTAGGGGTTAAGGTTGTGGATGCACAGAGGGTCCCACCCGAGGCGGTTCTCATCCCTCTGTGAAGCCGGGCTCACTCAGAACCTTTGTAGGAACTTCCTGGAAAATGCAGAACTTGCTTTATGAAAGACCTTTGTGGTTTGCCTGCTTTTCTTTTGCCCGAGGTCATCACAGGTGTGTGAACACCTGCGGTCCCACTGGGCACAGTCTTAGGAAAGCCTCCCCCCATCCCACCCGAGGTCCCGGAGCTGCGCAGAGAGGTCCCTCCGGGGCCACTTCCACCCCATCGATCCATTTTGAACCAACAGATTCAGACTTCACGACTCCACTGGGGATTCAGATTGTATTTCCACATAAGGCTACTGTGTTTCTGTTGGGGCCAGTGATAATGCACATTTGCCCCGAACACGCCTAACCCTCGTGAACCCTTGTGAACCGGTGTCAAAAGAAGCACGAGGAAATCGACACCCAGAGACACCCCCCCCACCCCCACCCTTGCCTTGGTACAGACAACCTTTGTCACCAGGGCTGTCCTGGTAAACTTTGCCATTTACACCTTCATCTCTTAAAATTTCCGAATAAGTTCATAATATCCCATAAAATCAGCACATACTTTCTAAGCAACAATGGGTCCTGATGGCCCTGAGTTCTTTCCGTTCAGGAGCCGACATTCAGGTGGGAACAGTGAAATCACAGGAATGAGATGGTATCTCTCAGTGGCAATGGTGCCACCAGGATTGTTAACCACCAATGGCCCAGTTTGGCAGGTAATTTCTGGAGAGATGGAGGTGTTTCTGATGGTACTGGAGAAATAGAATCAAAACTGGCATTTCTCGCCAACCCAGAATTCTTCTCCACCAAGGTAGAGATAAGAGAGACATGGTTTCATGACTGAATAAGCATTGAACAAGACTGCGCTCTGATGCACATGCCTTTTGAGAAAGAGGTTGACAAGACACAAACCCTCTTCTAGAGCAAGGTGGACACCAGCCACTGCACCCGCGCTCTCAAACGGGAGGGCGTCCCAGCACCATTTGTAACCATAATTCTTCCTAAACTCACCTTCCAGTTGGAGGGACCACCTGGGTCAGATCATTGGCTTTCTCCAAGGGAAAAATTAACTCCTGTCTTTATGACTGAAGGTGCTTTTATGACTTTGAGCCAGACTCTTAGCCCCTCACAGAAATGGGGCACCACACCGTTTATGTTTGCTCTTCAAAGAGTTGGCTCCCTTGAGAAAGATATGCCTAGGTCCCAAATCTGGCAAAAGCTCACTAACTTCTAAAAGTCTCTACATATATTTCAAAGGGATGAAGAAAAAACTTACACATTTTATTTATTTATTTTTTTAAATATATTATGAGGGCTTCCCTGGTGGCGCAGTGGTTGAGAGTCTGCCTGCCGATGCAGGGGACATGGGTTCGTGCCCCGGTCCGGGAAGATCCCACAGGCCGCGGAGCGGCTGGGCCCGTGAGACATGGCCACTGAGCCTGTGCGTCCGGAGCCGTGCTCTGCAACGGGAGAGGCCACAACCGTGAGAGGTCCGCGTACCGCAAACAAACAAAGAAAAAATAAAAAATATATATATGTGTATATATATATATATGAGTTTTGGGACTGCCCTGCCCTGGTGGTGCAGTGGTTAAGAACCCACCTGCCAGTGCAGGGGACATGGATTTGAGCCCTGGTCCAGGAAGATCCCACATGCCGCGGAGCAACTAAGCCCGTGTGCCGCAACTACTGAGCCTGTGCTCTAGAGCCTGCGAGCCACAACTACTGAGCCCACGTGCCACAACTACTGAAGCCTGCGTCCCTAGAGCCCGTGCTCCACAACAAGAGAAGTCACCACAATGAGAAACCCGTGCACCGCAATCAAATGTAGCCGCCACTCGCCGCAACTAAAGGAAGCCCGCATGCAGCTACGATGACCCAACGCAGCCAATAAATAAATAAATAAATAAAACAAATAAATAAATAAATTTATAAAAAATATATGAGTTTTAAAATTGAGATATAGTTGATTTATAATATTATATATGTTTCAGGTATACAACATAGGGATTCACAATTTTTTAAAGATTATACTCCATGTATAGTTATTATGAAATATTGGCTATATCCCCTGTGTTATACAATATATCCTTGTAGCTTATTTATTTTATACGTAATAGTTTGTACCTCTTAATCCTCTACCCCTATCTTGCCACTCGCCCCCTTCCCTCTCCCCACTTGTAACCGCTAGTTTGTTTTTGTATCTGTGAGTCTGCTTCTGTTTTGTTACATTCACTAGTTTGTGTCGTATTTTAGATCCCACATTTAAGTGATATCATGTGATATTTGTCTTTCTCTGACTTACTTCACCTAGTCTGATCGTCTCTAGGTCCATCCATGTTGCTGCCAATGGCATGATTTCATTCTTTTTTATGGCTGAGTAGTATTCCATTGTACATACGTACCACATCTTCTTTATCCATTCCTTTGTTGATGGACATTTGAGTTGCTTCCATGTCTCGTCTATTGCAAGTAGTACTGCTATGAACATTGGCGTGCATGTGTCTTTTCAAATTAGAGTTTTTGTTTTTTTGCGATAAATGCCCAGGAGTGGAATCACTGGATTCTATGGCAGCTCTATTTTTATCTTTTAGAGAAACTGCCGTAGTGTTTTCCACAGTGGCTGCACCAATTTGCATCCCTACCAACAGTGTACCAGGGTTCCCTTTTCTCCACACCCTCGCCAACATTTATTATTTGTGGTCTTTTTGATGATGGCCATTCTGACAGGTGTGGAGCCTAAGTAGCGTCTAAAGCAAACATTGAAGGACTCACTTGACCTTGAGCTTTTCCTCGACTCGTCATGTGTGGCGTTCTGAGTAAGACAGTGACTTTGGTGGATGGGGGACAGTGTCCAGTTCCTCTCTGTGTGCCCACAAAACATGGTGCCATTGGACACACAGTCGGCACTCACTGTTTACTCTTCACACTAACTGATAATCATTACCTCTTGCCAACGAGAGAAGAAAGTCAGCTGTAATCTTGCACTGACTGTTGTCTCTCAAAGTGATTGAGTTTTCTCACCGACCTTCATAGATCCTGCAGTTCTTACAGACATAAGTCATGACCGGTTTTTTTGTGAGAATCTTGGTTTTCTCTGTCCCTTTAAAGCACTCTATCATTCTTGTATTATAAGTATGAAACACATAACAGACTCTGGACACATAGTAAGAATATAAAATATCTTGTTGATAATTACAGATAGATGACATAGGTAACAGATAGATGATGACAAGATAGATGATAGATAGGTAGATAGACGATATAGAAGATAGATACATAAATAGATAGTAGATAAATAATAGCTAGATGATGACGATGATAGATAGATACATAGATAATAGAGATAGATAGATAGATAATAGAGGTAGATAGATAGATGGATAGATAGATATAGATATCATGTTGAAATGATAATATTCTGGATATATAGGATTAAATAAAATATATCATCAAATTTTTTTAAAAAAGCACTATATCATTCTTATAACATGAGTGCTGACATCATTTTACAAATTTCAAGCTCTTTCCAGCATTGCCTCAAAGTCTACTCTATTTGTGTCTTTTTACCCAGGAGAAACATTGCAGCTTCAAATCATCAACTTTAATTTCGAAACTGTGAAGGTTACATGGAATGCAAGTGAATACCCCGGGACTAATTTGACATTCCTCCAAAAGTAAGTGCCCTGAGGAAGGGAAAACCATGCCTATGGCTAAAATATTTCCTCTTCTAAGATGTCAACAGCTGGGAGGCCCAGGACGTGAACGTGTGAAGGATCAGAAGGTGCAAGTGTGAATGTGTGTGCCCTCTAGCTCTCAGGCCTCACCACAGCTGCAGCCACAGCTCCCAGACCTTCTAACAGAGTGATGACTGACTCATGCTCGAAACCACCGAGATTCTTTTTTTTTTTTTTAAATAGATATTTGATTATATCTTTTTTCTTTTTTTTAATGAATTAATTTATTTTTGGCTGCGTTGGGTCTTCCTTGCTGCGCACAGGCTTTCTCTAGTTGCAGCGAGCAGGGGCTACTCTTTGTTGCGGTGCGCGGGCTTCTCATTGCGGTGGCTTCTCTTGTTGCGGAGCACGAGCTCTAGGCATGTGGGCTTCAGTAGTTGTGGTTCGCGGGCTCTAGAGCGCAGGCTCAGGAGTTGCGGCGCACGGGCTTAGTTGCTCCGGGGCATGTGGGATCTTCCCAGACCAGGGCTCGAACCCGTGTCCCCTGCATTGGTAGGCAGATTCTTAACCACAAGGGAAGTCCCGCATCCATTTCTTTAATCGTAAAGGAGATAATTCTTCGTCTCGTCATTGCTTGGGTTTGAGATCTTAAGGATGGAGTATAAGCTGGCCTCACACTCGGTCCTATAGGCTTCTTCTTAATATTGCAGGGAAGCCTCAAAGATGTACCCAATCTTGGGACATCCCTATTAAAAGTGTCTCCTGGAAGGGACAGTTAGGGAGTTTGGGATTGACATGTACACACTGCTACATTTAAAAAGGATAACCAGGGACTTTCCTGGTGGCCCAGTGGTTAAGAATCCGCCTGCCAATGCAGGGGACATGGGTTTGAGCCCTGGTCCAGGAAGATCCCACATGCCCCGGAGCAACTAAGCCTGTGCGCCACAACTACTGAGTCTGCACTCTAGAGCCCGCGAGCCACAGTTACTGAGCTCGTGAGCCGCAACTACTGAAGCCCACGTGCCTAGAGCCCGTGCTCCACAACAAGAGAAGCCACTGCAATGAGAAGCCCGCGCACCGCAACGAAGAGTAGCCCCCGCTCACCGCAACTAGAGAAAAGCCCACGCGCAGCAACAAAGACCCAATGCGGCCAAAAATAAATAAATAAATTTTATTTTTAAAAAAAAGGATAACCAATAAGGACCTACTGTGTAATACAGGGAACTCTGCTCAGTGTTATGTGGCAGCCTGGATGGGAGGGGAGACTGGATACACGTATATGCACGGCTGACTCACCTCGCTGTGCACCTGAAGCTGTCACAACACTGTTAATCAATCAGCTCTACTCCAATATAAAATAAAAATGCCTCTGAGTCAAGGGCTGGGTTACTCTGCAGGTCAATTACTTTCCTAGGGCGGCGGCAACAAAGTACCCAAAACTGGGCAGCTTAAAACAAAGAAAATTCATCCTCCCCCATCCTGGAGACCAGATGTCTGAGGTCAAGGTGTCCCAGGGCCACGCTCCCTCCTGAGGCTCCAGGGGAGGTTCCTTCCTGCCCCTTCCAGCTTCTGGGGGCTCCAGGCGTCCCTGGGCTTGTGGCCGCCTCCCTCCCGTCTCTGCCTCTGTCTTCCCGGGGCTTCTCCTCTGTGTCTGTGTCTCTCGTCTTCTGTCTCTTAGAAGGACCCTGTCATGGGATGTAGGGCCACCATCATCCAGGAGGACCTCATCTCAGACCCCTCACTTCATCACATCTGCAAAGATCCTATTTCCTAATGAGGTCCTGTTCCCAGGTTCCGGGGTTAGTATAGATACGTAGGCATGCCATTTGGAGGGCCACAATTCGAGTCCTACAAGATCCATTCAAGGGGTGTAAACATTTGAGAGAGGGGTACTTTTCTGTTTCGACAGGTCTCGCTGTAGTTTTGTAAGGGGAGGGGGTCATTGAAGCGAGTGACGTGGTACCCAATCTGAGTCAGTGACAGAGTCATGGAGCAAAGGAACGGCCCTTAAGTTGTTATTTTTAAGATGCTACATAGCTGAACTTTTCTCTTTTTAAATCACAGGTTAAGCAGCAATGAGGCATACAGACCATGCTCCAAGTATACCCTTCAGCAAGGTTACACTGCCGGGTGCCTCTTGGAAGTAGAAAAAGATGAAGTTCTATATTTTTCCATCAGGAATGGAACACACCCCCTTCTCAGCAAGAGTCTGTGGATCAGCAGTTACCGTACGTGCTTTAGTACCTTGAGGGTTGACTGTCCATTTTGGATTAGGATACATCATACAAAGGTAGTGAAACCCTCTCTCCAAAGATTCATGTTTTGGTCTGGATTTCTGTGAGGCAGAGCTTCTTTTTTCCCCCCCTGTTTTGAGGGATGGGATGTCACAGGTCCATCTCAGAATCCCATGAGAGCTATGGACCCCCTACTGAAAACAATCCCTCATAGACATTGTATAAGTCTCCTCGGGCTGCCATAAAAAATTATCAGAAATTGGGTTGCTTAAAATAAACATTATCTTCCAGTTCTGGACACCAGAAATTCTACAGTCGAGATGTGGGTAGGGTTGGTTCCTTCTGGAAGTTCTGAGGGAGAATCTGCTCCAAGCCTCTCCCTCAATTCTTGGGAGCTGCTCGTAACCTTGGGCGTCCCTGGGCTTGGGGCCGCCTCCCTCCCGTCTCTGCATCCGTCTTCACGTGGCTTCTCCTCTGTGTCTGTGTCTCTTCTCTTCTAATAAGGACACCAGTCATACTGGATTAGGGCTCACGCTACTCCAGGATGACCTCATCTTATCTTAAACAATTACACCTGTAATGATCCTCTTTCCAAAGATTCTGAGGTGCTAGGGTCCAGGACTTCAAAGTGTCTTTTTCTGGTGGGACACAATTCATCCCATAACAGATATAGAAAAGTTTTTCAAGCAATTTCAGAGAGCTCTTTCCACGAGACACCTAAGGGTCCTTGGAGAGCTGGGTAAAAGTTCTATTGTCAATGTACTAAAGACAAGGAAACCCCACATCTCATAAGGTATTAGAGGAAGGATTGGAACAGTGAGAGGAAAGTGAATCCAAGCCCAGTTACCACTGTAATTTCAGAGATGTGGAATGTTTATCTTGGTAGAGGTGTTAGTCATTGTGCTATTTCTCCTTCTTAGTGAAACCCAGATCCCTGAGTGATCTGAGCTTCCAGTGGCATCAGGGAGCAGTGACAGTGACTTGCTCTGACCTGTGGTACAAAGGTCTCGTGTATGAAATCCAGCACAAGAGCACCTTTGACGCCGAGTGGCAGGTGAGGGCAGGGACGTCTTCTCAGGCCAGGTGTACGTAAGTATCCCCAAGATGCGAACGGTGGAGAAAGATGGAGAGACACAGAGACAAAGATATTGAGATTTATTTTAAGGACTTGGTCATGTGATTGTGGAACCCGGTGTATGTGACAGAAGCAGGGGGCACTCATCCAAAAAGGGAGAAGACGGACAAATGGCTGGAATCAGTAGAATAGAATCACTGCTCACCAAAGAAATACACATTAAAATAGAGGAATACTTGGCTTCCCTGGTGGCGCAGTGGTTAAGAATCTGCCTGCCAATGCAGGGGACACGGGATCGAACCCAGGTCAGGGAAGATCCCACGTGCCATGGAGCAACTAAGCCCGGGAGCCACAACTACTGAGCCCACGTGCTGCATCTACTGAAGCCCACGTGCCTAGAGCCCGTGCTCTGCAACAAGAGAAGCCACCGCAATGAGAAGCCCGCCCACCGCAACAAAGAGTAGCCCCCACTCACCGCAACTAGAGAAAGCCCGTGCGTAGCAACGAAGGCCCAACACAGCCAAAAATAAATAATATAAATAAATTAAAATTAAAAAAAAAAATAGAGGGATACTGGAGTTCTCCTAAATAGCTGATCATAAAATGTGACCATTTTTAATGATGTTGAACACCAGGAAACTTTAAGACCTCCGTCCTTGTTGCGATCAATTAATTCCCTTTGCAGAAATCAATCCTCAGGGAATAATTCAAAATGTGGATGAGGCTGTATGCACAAAGACATCTATCGAAGCATTATCTAAAATAAATACATGGACTTAGGGACCACCTATGTGGCATACAGCAGGAGAATAGTCAAACAAATTATGGTACATTTATAATAAAATATTTAAGAGCCATCAAAAGGTATTTTGAAGAATATTTAGTGATAAGAAGCAATACGTACATTAAATATTGTGTTCAATGAGTACCATACCCCCGGAAGGAGAGAAATGATATCAATTTGTTAATGGTGATTGTATTTTGGAGCTAGAATAAAGACGGGTTTTAAGTGTCTTATTTTGCCTTTGTGTGTGTGTATGTGTGTGTGTGTGTGTGTGTGTGTGTTTTCTAAAGTCTCAAATGTAAGCATGCATTACTTTTCTTTCTTTTTAAAATAATTAATTAATTAATTTGGGGGCTGTGTTGGGTCTTTGTTGCTGCGTGTGGGCTTTTCTCTAGTTGCGGCGAGCGGAGGCTACTCTTTGTTGCGGCGCACAGGCTTCTCATTGCGGTGGCTTCTCTTGTTGCGGAGCACGGGCTCTAGGCGCACGGGTTTCAGTAGTTGTGGCACGCGGGCTCAGTAGTTGTGACTTGCGGGCTCTAGAGCGCAGGCTCAGTAGCTGTGGCGCACGGGCTTAGTTGCTCCGTGGCATGTGGGATCTTCCCAGACCAGGGCTCGAACCCATGTCCCCTGCATTGGCAGGCGGATTCTTAACCACTGTGCCACCAGGGAAGCCACAGCATACATTACTTTTATATTCATAAAAAAAGTTACTAGGGAAATATAGCCAATATTTTATAATAACTGTAAATGAAGTATAACCCTTAAAAATTGTGAACCACTATATTGTACACCCGTAACATATAATACTGTACAGAAACTATACTTCTATTTTAAAAAATTACTTTTTTTTTAAAGAAAGAACTTAGTAATTCTTCAAAAGCGTCTGTCATCATGTTTGTCATAACGAATTTTTTTTCCTTTTTGGAGGGAGGTGTAGAGGTGCTGCCACATTTGTTTTTGCTGCTGTTTGGAGGATAAATATCTGGGCAGAGAGAGGAAGTGAAACAAGAGAGGGAAATCCTGCAAGGAGGAATCTTGTGTGAATCCCTGGTAGAAGATGAAAAAGTCTGGGTCAATCATGGGTCATCGTGTCTGTTTTTCCCTCTAGTCCAAGGAGGCAAAAACCTGCAATGTCACGCTTGACAGTTTGGATGCTGAGAAGTGTTATTTCTTTCGGGCCAGAGTGAAAACGCTGGAGTCCAGCTACGGCTCTGACACATACCCAAGTGACTGGTCAGAGGTGATACGCCAGCAGAGGGGCAAGCTAACAGGTAATGTCACGCAGCATCGCTGCACAACATGGTCCGGCACCCTACGTTGGGGGGAGGGTGGAATGGGGCACCTGAAAACACGGATGACCCCAAGTCCTGCTCCAGAGGTCACGGTGGAAGCAATTCCTCTTCTAGATTCCATCATTATTGGACTAATTTTCTTTTTTATTTCATAGCAAGTATAATGTGTCATTTATGAATGTGGTTCCATGGATATACGTACAGATGCATAGAGAGATCTATAGATAAATAGGTGATAGATGGATAGATTGATAGATGATAGATGATGATAGATAGATGACATATATAGATAGATAGACATAGATGGATGATAGGTGATAGATAGCTAGATAGATGGATAGGTAAGTAGACAGATATATATCGTAGATAGATAAGTAGATAGGTAGGTAGGTTAAATAGATAGATGATAGATTGATAGATGATAGATAGATAGATAGATGATAGATATGGATAGACCAAAGAAAGCCCTGATATCCTCAAATACCCCTGGCAGTGAGTTAAATCTACACTCCCTCCTTCCTGATGTTTGCCTGTCCAGTGTCACCATCTCTCTTTCCAGGATATTTCACACCAAAATCAAGATTTGCTGACCCTGACATTTATAAAGGAAAAAAAAAATGTGGGTGGCAGGGTTTGGAGTGTGATCTAGTATTATGTTGAAATTATCTTGATAACTTACAGCCCTCATTCTGTTTTGCTTTAGATTTGTGCCAGGAAAAGAGCCTTTTCCCAAATTTTATTTTAATTGCTGGCATGGTCACCTTCCTGATAGCCTCCCTTCTCCTTCTGCCTTTATGGAAACTACGGAGGTAAGGATGACCCTGACAGAATCCTCAGACACATGGGCTTTGGTTCCAATATGTCCCTGAATTGGGGGGAGGGGGGAAAGAATTGTCTGATATGATTATTTAGCTGAATATCACTTTCTCTATAATACACACTTTGCCAGTGGTATATGACAAGAAAATTGAGAGGGAAATAATGCCAAAGGTGCAGAGATATCTGCAGAATTCATTGACAAATATTCTCTTGGAGACAGTAGGATATAAGAATGCTCATTCCTATGAGAGCGTTACCTTGCTTCAAACACACGCCCCATTGAGCTGTGCCCTCCTGTCATGTTACAATGACAGGTACTTAAAACACTTTTAATTTTTATTGAGATTTATTAAATGAGACAATTTGGTGAGTGACGTGAGAAGAACTGGACAAGAAGAAAGCTTGTCTGGTTTGTAAATCCATTTACAGATACAGCAAAACAATATTCTTTGAGACCATAGAAAGCATTTCAAAAATATGATATTAAATATTTCTCCCCATTAACCTTCCGTGCAATAATTTAACAACCGCTATTTCCATCTTTCTTTAAACGTACTTGCGCCCGGGCCTTTTACTTCTTGATGATGTTTGAAGGCACTGATGCCCAGGGCCGTGGGTGCCATCTTTGTTTCTTAGGATGAGGTTTCCATAGCAACGACTGGAGTGATGCATAGAGAAACATGGACCGCCATTCTGGACAACTCAGGCTGGGTCTGAGCTAGGCTAAGTTAGACAATTTCAAGGGCGTCCCGTCATGGTTGGATACAGCATGGAGCAGCTTCTCTTGATTCTTGCAAATCGCCCCATTTTTTCTTCAGTCTGCTCTTCTCTCTTTGACCAGCTCAAACAGATGCCTGCAATATGGTTCTCTGCAAGGGAGTAGATGAAGCAATCAGATAAGCGTGTTGACAGGTGACATGTCTGATGTTTTTAATACAAAACTGAAATCATCCCTGAGGGAATCTGAGGGGTACACTTCTTGGAAAAAACTAACACTTGTCCCGTCTTCAAGGAAGTCCCTGTTCACGACGAGTGGTGAAATCAACTGTATTATTTTCCTGGGGTTGCCATAACAAAGCACCCCAGACTGGGGGGGGGGGCTCAAACAACAGACGTTTATTTCTCCCAGTACTGGAGGTTTGAGTCTGAGGTCCAGGTGCGGGCAGGGCTGGTTCCTCCTGAGGCTTCTCTCCTGGGTGTGTAGACGGCCCTCTCCTCCCTGTGTCCTCACACGGTCGTCCCTCTGTGTGCATCTGTGTACTAATCTCCTCTTCTTTTAAGGACACCAGTCACATAGGGTTAGCATCTTATAGATGAAAACCTCTTAGGTTCTGTATCTGGGGGCCTGCGAATTAAACTGACCAAAGACAGAGTAACGTAAGAAAATGCATGTTTCTTTACTGATGTAATGTTTTTAAGCGCATGGAGATTCGTAGAAAGGAAGTGAACACCTAACAAGGCAGTTAATTCGGGGGCTTCTGTACCATTTTAACAAAAGGTAATAATTTGTGGAGAAGTGGAAAAGGAAGACAAATGAAAAGGGAGTTTGGATGTGGGTAAATAGTGGGAGGGTGACTAAGAAATGTGTAGGGGAAACTACAGGCAGATAAAGGCTGTCTGTGTGGAAGCATCTTGGTGTCATCTCAGTGATGTGACTCGTCCATTTCGAGGTAAAGGAGGCGGGGGCACCTTTACAAATGGAATTTTTTTTTTTTTTGTAAAGAGGGAAATTTGTGGTCTGCTTTTAGGTGGGTGGGGGAGGGCAGAGGGCTTCTCCTACCTCTGCTGTTTCTCAAGTGCCTTCACCTCCAAATACACAATATCCCCAAGTGGCATATTTTGGGGTGGTGTATCCTGTTCACATTCATACCCCATGTCTATGACCTCATTTCACCTTAATTACCTCCTAAGAAGTACAACCTCCAGATACGGTCAGATTGAGGGGTCAGGGTTTCAAGTTACGAATTTGGGGAGGTGGGGACACAATTCAGTCCATAATGTCAACAGAAATAGTGATTCCTAGGTAATAAGAATTGCTCTTTTGCAGAGATGGGCTCCATGCCCCTAATATCACATTCCTGGTGAGGGCTTCACGTGGATGCTGGGAGCAGGGTACCTGCGAGGGTAGGAGTGGGGCACATGTTTTGAAATTGGGGACGCAGTTCCGCCAAGGTGTGCAGCCTCTGGGGTCAAAGTCTGCAGCCATCCCGGGCCCCTCATGGCGGGGCGGTGGGTGGGGTCTGTCCGCCTGGACGTCCACAGCCCTGCTCAGGGGCGCCAGCCTGTCTGACCAGACTCTCCATGTCCATTTCAGGGTTAAGAAGGTTCTCATGCCCAGTGTGCCGGATCCCAGATTCACCTTCTCTGGGCTCTTTGAGTCTCACCAAGGTAACTTCCAGGTAAGCACCATCTCCTTGGGCATGAAAAACAGGCTTGCTTTGTGCTGTCCTACTACCTCCCCTGTGCACCATGTAAAACCCCGCTTTTATTCCAGCAGCCTCTTTAAATGCCTGGGAGCCTTTTTGCATTTGAAAGCAGCAGCACGTTCTTTTCTCTTTTGGTCAGAGAGAGTAGATCCAAGGGCCTCCGAGGGTGGCTTCTCTTGAAATCAGCCCCAGAGATCAGTGGCCCCCACTACGGGATTTTCCAGCCTAATCACTTTCTGATCTTATCAGGAAGTTGTGTTCTTAATCTGTTCCCTCTGCAGAGCTGACAACAAAACCTACACTTCCTTTTTCAAACTTTATGGTTGTTGTTTCATTCACATGACAAATGCTTAAGGAGTTGGGAGGAATGAGACAGAGGGAATCAGCACCGCGTCCCCAGGACATTGCCAGCAGTGGACACCCAGGCGTAGACTCTACGGGACCATGGGATCAGAGTTATGCCAGTTCCCTGCGGCTGCCGCAAACGGCGGGGTTCAAAACATCACACATTCATCCTCCCCCATCCTGGACACCAGACGTGTGAGGTCCAGGTGTCCCAGGGCCGCGCTCCCTCCAGAGGCTCCGGAGGAGGGTCCTTCCTGCCCCTTCCAGCCCCTGGGGGCTCCAGGCGTCCCTGGGCTTGTGGCCGCCTCCCTCCCGTCTCTGCCTCTGTCTTCATGGGGTTTCTGCTCTGTGTCTGTGTCTCTCCTCTTCTGTCTCTTAGAAGGACCCTGTCATTGGATGTAGGGCCACCCTCCTCCAGGAGGACCTCGTCTCAGACCCTTCACTCCATCACATCTGCAAGGACCCTATTTCCAAATACAGTCCCATTCCCAGGTTCTGAGGGTTAGCACTGGGGCATATCTTTATTTTGGAAGGGATGCACTATTTAACCTTCCAGAGGAGCAAAAAGGTGAATTTTAGAACTACTTATAGGTGTAGGAGAGGGAAAGAAATGGAAAGAAAACCCACAAAAACATGCCTCTATCCTGTTAAGTTCTGTCTCTGATACCTGCAAATTAAACAGACAAAAAAAAAAAAAAAGATTAAGAAGAGAAAAGGTTTATTTTGTGTGCACATGAAAACAAGTGAAAACCCCCAAGAAGTAGTTACAGACCTGGAGGGTGATGTGCCATTTTAACAAAGGGTGATAGAGTGTGGAGGAGACACCAAGTAAAAGAAAAGGGGTTGGGGACTTGGGGGTGGCAGGCAAGATATGAGAAGGTGACTAGGAAATGCATGAGAAATAAGGGTTCTTTAGTAAGATTTTATGCGGACTCAAGTTCTCCCAGGTGATAAGTGTTGTCTCTGGAGTTGGAAGGGTCAGGGTGACCGTTTACAAATGTACATTTCCTTGCCAAAAGGGACATTTATGCCCTGCTATTCTAGGGAGGATAAACGGAGAGCAGAGAATCCTCTCTGCAGCGGTGCATTCTCCATTGCCTGCAGCTGAAAATAATCCTTGTGCCAAAGCGGCATATTTAGGGGTGTCCCAGGTCCTTTCAAGGGAGAAGAGAGGGGGTTACAGCAGAGTTTAGGACAGGAAATCTGGAGTTTTTCAATACTTGGGGCTAGAAGAAGGAGATGGGGGAGGCTGGGCCGGGGAAGGGAGATGTTATAGGGAACAGAGGAGTCACCCGGTGGAATACAGTCCCCTGGAGCACCCTATTCCAGATGTGCTCCCAGCCAGCATCAGGAAATCCCAGGGCACCTGTTAGGATTCAGCATCTGGGCCCCCTGGACCTGCTGAGTGACAATCCTCCTTCTGAAAAGTCACCCCCATCTCAGAGAACATACCTGCGGGGTGGGGGCGGGGGGAGGAATCTGTGTTTCCTGTTTTGGGTTCCGGAAAAGCCCCTCAGGCGGTCCTCATGTGTGAGGAGTGACCACAGACCAGCCGCTTTGAGGCTGATGACAAAAGACAGGTCTGGGGCTTCCCTGGTGGCACAGTGGTTGAGAGTCCGCCTGCCGATGGAGGGGACACGGGTTCGTGCCCCGGTCTGGGAAGATCCCTACATGCGCGGAGGGGGCGGGCCCCTTGAGCCATGGCCCCGAGCCTGCGCGGACGGAGCCTGTGTTCCGCAACGGAAGAGGCCGCAGCAGTGAGAGGCCCCCGTACCCCAAAAAAAAAAAAAAAAAAAAAGGCAGGTCTGAAACCACAAGCTCTATGCCAAGATGCTAAACATGAGAGCTTTTTTGTTCTGCTGGGGGTGGCATCACCTCCGGAGGGAGGCTGCCAGGGTCCCGGGGATGCACGGGCCCCGAGGGGAGGGGTTTGCTGCACGGAGCCTGAGTCACAGTGTTTCATCCTGGCAGGAGTGGATCAAGGACACGCAGAACGTGGCTCATGTGAATAAGATGGAAGACGGGGAGTGGGAGTCTATCCCGGAAGAGGCCGTGGTGGTCCAGCTGGCCGAGATGCCCAAGACAGCGGTGACGAGCCCTGTGTACCGGCAGACAGCGGAGGAAGAGGCCACCGGGGAGCCCGGCCAGCTCCCTCGCCAGCTCCCCCAGGGCGGCGAGGTGGTCTCTCTCGGGGATGTTACGTTTGTGATGAGTGACAACTCATACGTGATGTTCTGAGGGGGTGCAAACTCAAAAGCCAACATCAAAATCTACGTTGACATTGTAGGACCCAGGACAGCATCTCAGGGGCTAAAAACCGCTGTGAAGGGAACTCCCCAGAACCGAGGATGCTGGTGTCTGGGGTCACCCAACATCGCACCCATCCAACCAATGCATCCCATCCATGTCGATATCCAAGGGCTTGAAGGCAGATTCCCTATAGGTGGCAGACCGTTGGTTGGGCTTGTTCTTGCTGTCACCTGGCACGTTGTCACGGTTCACTTAAATCGTAAGGAAGGACAGCCAGTGGCCTGAGACCACCTTCCTTCGCACGTGCCCACCCAGTCCTGCCCTTTCGCCATTACTACTCGCACCTGAGTGGTTCCTCGGATCTTTTGCTATGCGGCACCTGTACCCAGCAGGTGAGGCACAGCACCCCCAGGTACAAAAGGAATTCTGCGTTACCAACAACAACCAGCCACCCAGCTCTTGATCTAAAAGGGAAAAACCCACTTTGCAAGCATTGAGGCATTTTATTAAGCAGACTGTTTTAATTCCTGAGTCCACACTCAGGACATCACTCCTAAGAGATATTTGAAGGTAAAAACCCTGCATGAGCATTTGAGACATTCCCTGCTGAGTGTGCATTATTATTTTTTTTTAATATTGAAATAAAAAGAAAAAAAAGTGTTGGCATGAGAACTGCGGTGAGATGTCAACATCTAGCTGATACGTGTGGAGACAGTGGACAATGTTAGTTTGATGCCCTCAAGCTTCACGTACAGGATGTGTCTAGATTTCTAGATTATTGAGATCTAGTTGTTTTTTTCTTTGTTTTTTTTTTTTCAGGCTGGCACTGAGTTTATCTTGTCTCTCTCTGCAGGGTGCAGTAAAGAAACTTGATCAGATATACCTGGAGTCGTGTGTGTGTGTGTGTGTGTGTGTGTGTGTGTGTGTGTGTGTGGTGTTGGGGATTTATAATTTAACAAAATCTCTCCCCACCCCAGAAAATTCCTCCACAAAGATAGAAATGGAAAGAAAACACTTTTATTAGTGAACAAACACCAAGCCAGAATACAACACACATCGCGGGCAGCCCGCTAACGGTTTGCAAACATAGAAGGACTCTCACCCTATTTCTGAGCTCAGCAACCCGTTCCCCCTGCATTCTCAAGACAACATTGCTAATTGTCTCCTTTCTGTAGGATGTAGGTGTTGCAGTTTGGGGCCAGGTTTCCAGCTGCAGTAAGGCCACTCTCTTCCCTGGAAGCTGGGAGGTGGGCCTTATGTGATTGTTCCCGTTTGGGAAGGTCATTCCTGGGTCAGAGCTGTGGTGCAGGGTTGGAAGTGGGAGAGCAGGAACCCCAGAAGTCACCTTTCCCTGAGGAAGATTTCAGAGTGGGCTGCACGCCTGGACCTGGGACCTTGTTTCTGGGCTGCGAGAGGCTTTTATTTATTTATTTTTTAAAGTAATTAATTAATTTATTTATGTTTGGCTGCATTGGGTCTTTGTTGCTACGCGCAGGCTTTCTCTAGTTGCGGTGAGCGGGGGCTACTCTTCACTGCGGTGTGAGGGCTTCTCATTGCCGTGGCTTCTTTTGTTGCAGAGCACGGACTCTAGGCGCACTGGCTTCAGTAGGTGTGGCACAGGGGCTTAGTAGTTGTGGCCCGCGGGCTCTAGAGCACAGGCTCAGTAGTTGTGGCGCACGGGCTTAGTTGCTCCACGGCATGTGGGATCTTCCCGGACCAGGGCTCGAACCCGTGTCCCCTGCATTGGCAGGCGGATTCCCAACCACTGCACCACCAGGGAAGCCCCACCCTGGGGCTTTAATTGTGTCTCCACCATTGAATCTTTTGTGTCCTGGTCCATGTTTCTTTGCTCCAGAGTCCTCGAGTTGGGAATCATGCAGTGTTTCTCTTCTCCTCACTCATTGGGGTGAAGAGAGGGGGTCTCCCACACTGGAGCCCCCCGGAAGGCTTGTGTCCCCCTGCCCAGAGGTTCTGATTCAGCAAGTGCCTCTGTAGTCAGAGCAGCTGCGTTTCTACAAGCCTCCCCAGGAGTGGTTGGAGGGGAGACGACACGGCCGGTGAGTGCACCACACTCTGAGGAGGGTGAACAGCAAGATGCCCACTGAACCCTGGAAGACAGAGGAGGGTTAGTCTGTGCTGCTTGGACGCTGAAGCCCCTTCTCGGGAGCAAGGGGCCGGCACCGACCACGAAGCAGCCCTCTGTCTCCCGGGGACCTGAGGCTACAGATGACCCTCCCCTGGGGTCACAGAGCCGAGATGTGTGGTCATCTGGAATCCCCTGCCTGTACGTCCCAGGTGGGCACGAGGCCCTCTGCTCCAGACCAGGCTTTTCTGGGGGAAGTTTCCAGAGGTTTCCAGAATCTAGTCCCATCAGCGGGGTAAGCATTCGATTTTCCTGAGAGTTGCCTCCATGTGGATTTTATTTGTGACTCAGGAAACAAGTTGGCTCCAGAATCATCACTGAGGTGGACAGATGTTGCATCCATCAGCTAGGGCTGCTGTAACAAGTAACCCAGACTGGGGCGGGGGGTTGGGCTTAGACAACAGACATTTACCTCTCCCAGTCCTGGAGGCTAGAATGTGAGATCCAGGCGTGGGCAGGGCTGGTTCCTCCTGAGGCCTCTCTCCTGGGCGTGTAGACAGCCGTCTTCTCCCTGCGTCTCCACGTGGTCATCCCTCTGTGTGTGTCAGTGCCCTTATCTCCTCTTCTTATAAGGACACCAGTGCTATGGGATCAGGACCCACCCTAGTGACCTCATTTTCCCTTCATCACTTCTTTAAAGACCTTATCTCTGAATACAGCCAATTCTGAAGTCCTGAGGTTTAGGGCTTCAACATAGGAATCTGGGGGGAGACACAATGCAGGCTGGAACTATCTAACCAGGTCAGCCTGTGGTCTACCTGCCTGCCCTCATCCTTGGCCTGACCCCACTGGCCCAGGAAACCCTCTCTGTCTACCCGATATGGCAAGAATTCAGGCCAATATGCTTCACTCCTCCCTCTGGGCAAGCAGTGGAGCCTTGAGAGGGACAGACAGCCAGGCCCTTCAGGCTAGACACTGCCTGGTCTCCTAAGAGGGGACGGTACAGCTCAGCACCAAGGTCTGGGTGGGATTTCATTGCAACCACTGGAAAACCAGAGGAAAACCCCACTTCTCTTGTCTCCACATTCAAGAAGTCTTATTTGTCCAGTCACCCAGGAATCCCTTTTCCAGAAAGGCCCTGAGATGCTCCAGCACAGGCTTGGGAGCTGGAAAGGCTCGTACCAAAATCAACATATTATATGTACACTCGAGGTGGTGGGTATTTTTTAAAAACCTTCTTTTCTCTTGCCTTCGAATGTTCTGCTATCCCTGTTGACATTTTCCCCTCTTGATTTTGCTGATCGGAAAACAACCTTGGATTTGGATGAAAGAATGCCAGTTTCCACTGGATGACAGTGTGGCTTTAACAGTCAAGGTGGGATAAGCGGGGCTTGGGCAGGAAAGAATCTGACGGAAAGAATCTAGAAAATGATGTTACGTGGTGCTAAAATATGAAATATACTGGACGGTCCTTCCAGCAAGTCCACTCTTCTGGGCTTTTACGTAAAGAATAAATAGTCAGGATCTCGAAGAGACATCTGCATCTCCATGTTTATAGCAGCTCTATTTACAATAGCCGAGATACATAAACAGCCTAAGTGTCCATTGACCGAGGAAGGGGTAAAGAGAATGTGATATCTATCCATCTATCTACCTATCTATCTATCTACCATCTGTCTACCTATCTTTTATTTATCATCTATATCATCTATCTACCTTCCTATCTTTTATCATCTCTATCTATCTATACTATCGTCTATCGTCTATCATCTATCTACCTACCTATCTAACATCTATCTATCACTTATCATCTGTATCTATCTATATCATCTCTCTCTCTCTCTCTCTCTCTATATATATATATAATGGAATATTAGCCACAAAAAGAATGAAATAACGCCATTTGCAGCAACATGGATGCACTTGGAGAGCATATGATGCTCAGTGAATTAAGTCAGACAGAGAAAGACAAATACTCTATGTTATCACTTACATGTGTAACCTAAAACAAACAAAAACACCCCAACAAGTTCACAGATACAGAGAACAGATTGATGGTTGCCAGACGCAGGGGGTGAGAGGTGTGTGAAACGCCTGGAAGAAAAAGAAAAGAAATATATGTTCTCTGCCTTGGTTCCAGTCACAGAGCTCCTAAAACCCTCGGGATGTCCTGAGGGATGGGGGGGTGGGGGGTGGGAGAAGCACTTCTTTTGTTATTCATAATAAGTCCTTTTCAACCCAACAGGGGCCCCTGGAGGCCTTCAGGATGGGGGCTGGTTGCCAGGGGAACCAACACCTCATAACTTACCGCGTGCATCCCTAACATTTGGCTGAAGTGTGGCCAGTCCGGTAGGGCTGTCCCTTACCCTGAGGGGTCTGCGCTAACACCGGGGAACTCAGGGTCACCAAGGATGCTGGGACACCGCCTGCTGTCCACAATGAATCGGAGAAGCTCTCCGTGAGGAAGCCAGACCCCCCCTGGCGTGAGAAGCGTTGTGAGCACAGAAACAAGTGTTTTCTCTGGGGGAATCTCAGAGAATGGCACCTCCATCCTCCACTTCCAGGGCATGGGGAAACCTCCGCCCACACTCTGAGCAAATTGTGAGACATTTCCTTCTCTGCAGCACAAATGTATCTCATGCATTGCCTTTCCCAGGAGGGCAGAAATACAGTAGTGTGTCATTTTGTATCATTTTTTTAAAGAACAGAAATAGACCCACCCACAGACATAGAAAACAAATTTAGGCTTACCAAAGGGGAAAGGGGGGAAGGGATAAATTAGGAGTTTGGGAATAACAGATAGGTACTACTATATTTAAAATAGACACACAACAAGGTCCTACTGTATAGCACAGCGAAATATGCTCAGTATCTTGTAATCACGTATAATGGAAAAGAATCTGGAAAAAATGTCACTGAATCACTATGCTGAACCCCTGAACCTAACACATTGTAAATCAAATATAGTTCAGTTTTTAAAAATAGCGTGTCCTATGCAGTTCTGAGTAGGTACAGTTTTGGGGGTTCATTTGGGGAGATCCCACGGGTCTTCCTTTCTTGCTCCTTTGCACAGGGCAGGTGACAAAGCTCCCTGGCTGGGGTTTCGGGGCCTCCTGGTCTGGCAGAGAGGAGTGTGCTCTCCTGTGGGTTTCCACACTGGCTTCCGTGGGCTTGTCCAAGCTTGCACCTGGTCCTGGCTGTGGCTGCCCTTCCATGGGGACACCTGCGGCTGTGGCCATGCTGCAGCCCTGTCTGTGGCCGCTGGGCACTCCTGGTGCTGCGGCAGAGCCCCGCCCTGCATCATGCACTGGGGATCCACATCCCTCAGCTAGGGTCTGCGCCCCCCTGTGGATGAAGGAACAGTGTCCACTTTCCCCGGTGCTTCTGGGCCACCCACGGAGGCTGCTTTGGGCTCTGTGTACCCACTGGCCATCTGGAGACACACCTGCCTGCTGCACCCCACAGAGGGGTGGGGAACCTCAGGACTGTGGGCTCCCAGAGGTCACAGCTAAGAACTGCGGCAAACATCCCTCCTCTCAGCTCCCCCAGACAAAGGTGCCAGCTGATGCCAGCCCACCGGTGGTCATGACGAGCCTCAGGGACACAAACTCCTAAACTCATGGGAAGAAGTTGTGAATGACTCTGTCCATGGGAAAAAAACACAACCTAAAAGTTGAGAGTTATGTTTTAGTCGGGGCATTCCTGAGGACTCAAGCCTGGGATACAGCTTTCCAGATGGCTCTGAAGGACTGTTTCAAAGAGGTCAGG